CCAGAATGTCTCTTTTTCCTCCTAACTTGCTTTGGGCGCTGCTCTAGTTCAGGGTGACTGGCTTAGCTCGGGACTGGGCAATCTTTCCATCAGACTCCCAGGAGAGGTTAGCAGTCACTTAGCTTTAGGCCTCAAAAAGTAGGCTGGGGAAGGAGAGCCTGGCCCGACTAGTTGTTAACATAAAAATAAATGTTAATAACATAAGGAAAAGTTGGCAGGAGGCCTCGGACCTGGTCAACAATTTGTCCTTTCGCCTGATTTTCATAAAAGCAGTTTAACACCAATGGCCCCAATCTTAAAGAATGACACCAGTGGCTCCAATCTCCCCCCTCCCCCCAGGCTGGACAGCCGCCACGGGCTCGCTGACTTGGGAGAGAGGTCTCAGCCGTCTTTCCCTCTTCTGCTCTTGGAGACCAAAGTCTTAGAATAACAGAGTTCCCTTGTCTTGCCTTGTCTCCTCTGCACATGGACTTCCCCAGAGCTACGTGTGTCTTAAAATTACCCTGCATTGACTCAGATCGAATCCTCATCTGCTTTAACAGCACAGGGCCCTGAACACGAACGGGTTGCTATTTTGTTGTGGTTGTCACTGTTGATCTAGCTTTATTGGGGTACAATTGACAAAAGCTGTAGGTCTGTAAGGTGTACAACTTAATATTTCGATATACCTAGTATTTTCATACATCGTGAAATAATTCACCACTATTACACTAATTAACGTATCCATCCCCTTACATAGTTACCGTGTGTGTGTGTGTGTAGAGAGAACACTAAAAATCTATTTTCTTAGCATATTTCAAGCATACAATACGGTATTGTTAACTCTATAGTTAAATACACTCCTGTAGGGACACCTGGGTGGCTCAGTGGTTGAGCGTCTTCCTTCAGCCCAGGGTGTGATCCTGGAGACCCGGGATCGAGGTCCCCATCAGGCTCCCTGCATGGAGCCTACTTCTCCCTCTGCCTATGTCTCTGCCTCTCTGTGTCTCTCATGAATAAATAAATAAAATCTTTTTAAAAAATAAACCACTGTATATTAGATCTCCAGAATATATTCATCCTGCGTAACTGAAACTTGGTACCCTTTGGCCAACAGCTGCCCATTTCCCCTTCTTCTCAGCCCCTGGCAACCACCATTCTACTCTCTGGTGCTTTGAGCTGGACTATTTTAGATTCCATGGGTGAGTGAGATCATACAGTATCTGCCTTTCTGTGTGTGTCTGGCTTATTTCACATAGCACAATGTCCTCCAGGTTCATTCACGATGTTGCGAATGGCAGGATTGTCTTCTTTGTTAAGGCTGAATAATATTCCACTGCGTATCTGTACCACATTTTCTTTATCCATTCATCCATTGGCAGACATGTAGGTCCCTTCCATGTCTGTTGTGAATAGGACCGTAATGAACATGGGGGTGCAGGTTTCTCTTCAAGGTACTGGTTTCATTTCCTTTGTATGTATACCCAGTAAGTCAGTGTGTTTAAAAAGGAGATTCTGGGGGCTCCCTGGTGGCTCAGATGGTCAGCGTCTGCCTTCGGTTCAGGTCATGATCTTGGGGTCCTGGGAGCTAGTGCTACGTTGTGTTCCCTTCTTGCTTCTCTTTCTCCCTCTGCCTCTCCCCCCTCGCTCCTGTGCTCTCTCTCTCTCTCTCTCTCTCTCTCAAATGACTGAATAAGATCTTTTAAAAATCCTAAAAAAATTAAATCTTTAAAAAAAAATAAAGGAGGTTCTACACTCTGGTCAAAATCTAGATTTCTAACTTCTCTTCAAAACCCAGAATAAATGATTTCCTGGGAAATGTAAGTTTCATGACAACATAGACTTTGTTTTGTACACATCCCTAGCTCCAGGATGTAGATCAGTGTCTAGCAGTCAACAAATATTTGATGAATGAATAAATGAATGAGCAATGACAAGGCATGACTACTGTTAACTGAAACTTAATAGCAGCTGTCCCCTTTAGATGGGGAGTGTGCTCTCCCTTGCATGTTAAGTAAGTGTTTTCTCTCCAGATGAGTTCAGGGTGGAAAAATAGGCTCATATTTTTATGGACTGAATATTTATGAGGCTCCCTTCCCCCCCCACCACCACCAAATCCATATGTCAAAAGCCCTAACTTCCAATGTGATGGTATTTGGAGGTGAGGGGGTATCTTTGGAAAATAAATAGGTTTAGATGAGGTCATGTAGGTAGGGATCCACGATGGGATGACTGTCCTTGTAAGAGAAGGAAGAGAGAGCTTCCTCTCTCTCTATGTGAGGTCCTAGTGAGAAGGTGGCCATCCACAGGCCCAGAAATAAACCCTCATCAGTAACTGAATCTGCCTACACCTTGATCTTGGGTCTCCCAGCCTGCAGAACTACAAGAAATCATGCCTATTGTTTGAGCCCCCCTGGCCTGTAGTGTTTTGTTATGGCAACTAGAGCAGACTAATATACATATGCTGCTGCCCAGTACTTCCCATAGCCCCCAGAAGAAGCTGACTAGAGAAAAAAATGGGATTATGTAGCCCTGGCTGACAGCAATGAGTCTGATCAAATCCCGCAGATGGGTGGAAGTGTGTTTAGGTGGGAAGTCCCAGCGCTGTACAGTTGCCTTGCCATCCCACCCCCCTCCTCCCTCCTGACCCCCTGGACTGCGTTGAGGAAAGTCTTCTGAAGTGGACCTTCTTGGTGATGAGAGCAAAGCTTGTGGGGGAGCTCTGGACTGATTTTTGTCCCCCCAAGAGTCCTATATAGAGTGGGTCCTAACTCAATAGGACGGGCATCCTTATATTTTTTAAAATATTTTATTTATTTATTCATGAGGGACACAGAGAGAGAGAGAGAGAGAGAGAGAGAGAGAGAGAGAGAAGCAGGCTCCCTACTGGGAGCCCAATATGGGACTCAATCCCAGGACCCCAGGATCATGACCTGAGTCAAAGGCAGACACTCAACAACTGAGCCACCCAGGTGTCCCAGACGGGTGTCCTTATAGGAAGAGGAAGAGACACCAGAGAAAAGACCACATGAGGAGGCAAGAATGAAGACAGCCTTCTGCAAGCCCTAGAGGGAGGCCACAGGAGAGACCAAATCTGGCCACACTTTGATCTCGGACTGCAGGCCCTCAGAAGTGTGAGAGGATAAATGGCTACTGTGGAAGCTGCCTGGCCAGTGGTGTTTGGTGTGGGCAGCCTGGACTAAGCCAGTAGGTCATAGTTCTTTATCCGTTAGCAATGTGGACGCCGTGCCTAAAAGACACAAAAGACACAAACGCTTTTCAAGTGCTCCAAGACCCGAACAAAGAAAATGTATTGGCTCGAAAATGAAGACTCCCAAATCAAAATGAATTCATATATAATTAAATGTTTACAAAACAATGAGTCAGTGTTGACTCAGTTGTATTACTACTTTTATTCTTTTTTTTATTATTTATGATAGTCACAGAGAGGGAGAGAGAGAGAGGCAGAGACACAGGCAGAGGAAGAAGCAGGCTCCATGCACCGGGAGCCCGACGTGGGATTCGATCCCGGGTCTCCAGGATCGCGCCCTGGGCCAAAGGCAGGCGCCAAACCGCTGCGCCACCCAGGGATCCCGATACTTTTATTCTTAACAGAATTCAAAGTGATGGATTCAGAATTCAAAAATTTCAGCCAAAAAAAAACCCACCCCCACCCCCACCCCATCACAGACCTCAGAGGTATGGTACCAGTTTGAGAAATATGTAGGAACACCCATTCCCTGCCCCCATAATCCCACCTGCCTCCACGGCCAGCTTTTACCTCACCAGATGACATCGTGCTCACTTCCTCTACCTTCTAACTGGAGGCCTCCATCTCTTCACTTAACCACCTGCTTACTCAACCTGCCCCTCTGATCCTCAGATACAACTGTCCCCTGCCAGCCTCTCCTACCACTCATATTATCCCTAACCCAGGAGCACCCGTGTAATACGCCATTCAATCCGAACACCATCCATTCTCTCAGATCCTGCTGAGGCCCACCTTCCTCCACAGTGGTCTCCATCTGACCACTTTGTCATGTAAGCATCTTTCCCTTCTCCAAAATATTGGGGTGTTTTAGTCTGAACCACCTATCTAGCAGTCAATTTACAACTGCTTTGTATTTTGCTCTGATGATTTCATAGACATACAACTTGTCTCCTAAACTAGACTCTTAGGCCCTATCTGGCATTGGCGTTGTTTTATTACTTTCTTCCTTGACCCTGGCAGAAAAGGCTCTTGAGCGGAACAAACAGTAAGTGGCTAATGGATTCTTCTTTTCCTATATGACTTATTGCTTCATCTACTTAGATTCCAGCCCTGCTGAAGAGATCCTCACTCTCTATTCATTTCCTCCTCACCAGGGACCTTCTTTCTGTCCCCCATCTGCTTACTTCTGTAGGTCAGAAAATAGTGGGGAATATCACATATAGACTTTTTCATTGAGAAGTGCACAAAGAGACCCAGGACATCTTCCTAAGATCCCAGATTATATGAGGTCCCTAATTTTACTCTTAATCATCTGCCGTATTTGTTATGGTTTGTAGTTAGGTATTTGTGTATTTGTGTGTGGCATTGTGTAACCAGGGTGCCTGTTGCACTCACTGGATTATAAACCCTCTGAGGGCCAGGAAGGCATGTGCCTTTTTGCCCCCCGCCATGGTATCCTAAGCTCAGCATAAAGCCACATACAAAGGAGGTGCTTGCCTACTGTTGCTGAATGAATGGAAGAATGAGTAGAGTCCAGACAACGCACTTTGACAAGTCTTTGCATTTCTTTTTTTTTTTTAAGATTTTATTTATTCATGAGAGACACACAGAGAGAGGCAGAGGCTTAGGCAGAGGGAGAAGCAGGCTCCCTGCAGGGAGCCTGATACAGGACTCGAACCCAGGACCCCGGAATCACAGCCTGAGCTGAAGGCAGATGCTCAACCACTGAGCCACCCAGGCACCCCATGTCTTTGCACTTCTTATAGCCCTGACTGAAACAAAACAAAGCAAACTTTCCCTGCTCTTGCAGACGACACAAGATGTACAAAGAGCAGCTCAACCTCACCTCCCTGGACGCTCCCCTGCAGCTCCGACAGGAGGCCAGCTGGGTCCAGTTCCACCTGGGGATCAGCCGCCGTGGGCTGTACTCCCGGTCCAGTCCTGTCGTCAGCCAACTCCTCCACGACATGAGGCGCTTTCCCACCATCAGTGCTGGTGAGATGCACAGGCTCAGGCGGGATGCACTGACTTTCTCCCGGGAAGGCTGCATAAACCAACTCAGACTGGGCTGTAGCGTAAAATGTTAAAGGGTTGGCTCTGACACTTGATAGGATAAGAAAAAGAAAAACATAGACATTGATCTTTTCCCCTTTGCATGAGATCTTACCATTTTAATCTCATCACGACCCCATCAGAGAGCTATAAGAAAAAGTGTTTCTGAACACTTAAAGAATGGGGGTTGCTACCATTGACTGAGCGCTTCTTTGGAACCTGACAACCCTCTTTCATACAGCAACGAGACAATGTGGACATTATCATGGCCATGTTACAGGTGGGGAAACTGAGACTCAGAGAGGTGAAACAACTTGGCCAAAGACACAGCGGTGGTGCTGGGATTCAAACATAGTCCCCCTGCCCCGGGTCTGTGCTCTCAAGTGCTCTAACAATCTAGTCCCTAACAGGGACCAATCTAGCATCAGTCACTCACTGCTACAGGGGCGTCCACTGAAGGGCCAGAGGATGTAGGGCCTGGGATGGAGCAGGATGGAGGCCACAGGCAGTTGGGGCCCTGAGCCATCCCCCGTTGAATGGGCAAGGGCCCCCGGCTGCCTCACCGCCTCCCACTCTGTGGTCTAAAGGCTCCCAGGAGCAAGGCTGGGCGTTCTCACGGCCCTTCTCTTCCTTTCCAGATTACAGTCAGGACGAGAAGGCTTTGCTCGGGGCATGTGACTGCACCCAGAGTAAGTGGCCCAGCCCTGCGTCTGTCCTATCCCCTCATCGCCACCACCCGGGGAACCTCAGGGCCTGGCAGCAACGGGAGGGGCCCACCGTCCATCCCGTGGGGGTCCTGGCTGGAAGCTGAAGGAGCGAGACTCTCTCTGCCTTATCTCTGAGACCTCAACATGCTCTCCACCCACCCACACCAAAGAAAAAGCGCTCAGGAGGAGCTGTAACTAGGGCCCCGCTGGAGAGTGCATGGTCCTGTGTGGTCGTCTGCATCATTAACATCATCGGAGGGCTTATTAGGAATGCAAAATCTCAGTCCCCACCCTGGTTTTCTGAACCAGAATCTGGATTTTAACCAAATCCTCAAGGGGTTAGAGTACATTCATCGGTTTAAGAAGCAGTTGTCCTGGACAGTGGTTTTTTTATTTTATTTTATTTTATTTTATTTTATTTTATTTTATTTATTTTTTATTTATTCATGAGACACACAGGGAGAGAGGCACAGACATAGGCAGAGGGAGAAACAGCTCCCTGCGGGGAGCCCGATGCGGGACTCGATCCCAGGATCCCGGGATCATGACCTGAACCGAAGGCAGACGCCCCTGGACAGTAGTTCTTAAGCTGGCCACACACTAGAGTTCGCTGGAAAGCTCTAAAAAGTACTGAGGACTGCCCTTTACCTCAGAGGGTCTCGGTTCAGTGGCACAAGGTGAGGTCCAGGCATCAGAACTGCAAAACCCTCCAGGTGATTCTAATGGAGCCAAAGTTGAGACCCACCAGGGCAAGTGATGAACAGACTCAAAAAGACAGACCTGAGATATAGTAGCTCCCAGGGGCTATGAATTGGATGTGGTGGTGCCTGGACACCAAGCTCCCTGGCCCGGTAGTGAGTAACCTCATCTCTTTGCTTCAATATACTGAACACATAGAAATTCTCATCTGTGTCATTACATGTTAAAGGTTCAAAGGAAAGTTTTTAGGGCCCCCGGGCTTCCCTTTGCTTTAGTTCAGTACCTGCCTGCTAGTTGCCATCATACAGAACACGAAGGTGAGTTAGACGTTGTCCCAACACTTTGCCCGGTCCTAGCAAGGCCAGGACAGGGGAAAGCGGGTGAAGTACCCAGAACACAACATATCAGAAGACAGTACTGACCGCAGGGGGAGGTAGGTGCGCCCAGGTGTCTTATCCATCAAAACCCTGTCCCGGCCCAGGTATACAGTCCTAAATAGAAAGACGTTGAGGGGCACCTGGGTGGCTCAGTAGTTGAGCATCCGCCTTCGGCTCAGGGCATGATCCCAGGGTCCTGGTTCGAGCCCCACACCGGGCTCCCTGCCCAGCAGGAGGCTCCTTCTCCCTCTGCCTCTGACCTTGCTCATGCTCTCTCTCTCTCTTTCTCAAATAAATAAATAAAATATAAAAGAGAGAGGGATGGAGATAAATTAGTCCAACGGGATGTAACAGGTGGCATAATCAGAACCCATCGGGGTGCCACAGAAGCACACAGGGAAGACTCCAGTTCTTCTTAGGAAAACATTCTGCGGGGTTTTCAGTGAGTGTCTATCTCGGGGAAACTGCATCACTTTCCCCTTTCCCAGGAGAACAGACAAAGCATTGTTTTGAGCCCCCCAGACACACTCTCCAAGGCCTGACTGACATGCTAGAACTTACCCTGGAGACTTCAAAAGCAAATGCTGGTCTCCGGGGTCTTATTACATAAGAGCAGAAAGAAGAAATCTAGTGGGTTTTTTTTTTTTTTGAGTGAACACAGGTTACAAGCCCTGAGGTCATAGGCCCAGAAACAGCGTTAACTCTCCCTTCTCCCCCTCACAGTCGTGAAACCCAGTGGGGTCCACCTCAAGCTGGTTCTGAGGTTCTCAGACTTCGGGAAGGCCATGTTCAAACCCATGAGGTAAGTGACCGTCTTCCTCACCTCCACGTCCAGCTGTGGCAGCCGTAAGGGAGTTTTGACCGAAAATTAGTAAATGTGGACAGTTTGGGGAGGGGATCTCATCTGATATTGAGGCATATAAAATCCTGGGGAGAAAAAGTTGTGTTCCTTTTAAAAGGGAGTGATCGCGGGATGCCCGGGTGGCTCAGTGGTTGAGCATCTGCCTCTGGCTCAGGTCGTGATCCCCGGGCTCCTGGGATCCAGTCCCTGCATGGAGCCTGCTTCTCCCTCTGCCTGTGTCTCTGCTTCTCTCTCTGTGTCTCTCAGGAATAAATAAAATCTTTTTTAAAAAAAATAAAAGGGAGCGATCGCAGTGAGCACGCGTGGCTGGTTTAGCCAAGGCTCGAGAAGCAGGCAGGTGGTTCTTTGGTGCACCTGTCAGCTGAACACAGAGCCACCACGTTTGGGGCATTACAGGGTTTTTAGGGATTGTTATGGTTAGTCATGGGGGTTAGCGTAGACTCCTAAGTGAGCCTGGTTAAAGAGAGGAGGCAAAGGGAACATGATGTAGAAACAGGAGACATCAAAGGGAAGCATAAAAACAATGATAAATCTGCAAATCCACCACCCAGCATCAGATCCGCGAGTTGCATTCTCTGAGAATTCTTATCTGGCACATTAGGATGGCTGTGATTTCTCTAAAACTTTAAGCTCATTATACAGCAGGAGAGCCTTGCTTTCCCTTTCCGTACGTGGGGAGGAAAACCACGCACACTGGCCACGTTTTATATGCAGGAAAGCACAGGAAGTACCAGCCTACAGCCTCTCCTCTCCCCCCATCACTTACAAACTACAGGCAAAGACTGTTCAAATGAACCAGCTTTCCTCCTGAATAGAATGCAAACTCTCCAACATTGGGTCATAAAAGCCATTTTGTCTATTCTTATGCCATAACGTAAACTGTAATCCGCATTTGTATACAATTTAGTCCAAAGCCAAACAGCATCATTTTAAGACGTATTTCTCGGAAAGGCATGCATTTTTTTCGATAGGTAATTGAAAGCAAAAAAAAAAAAAATTGTCCCATGTTAAAAAGGGAAAGTAGAAATTTATCTTTGGATAATATAAATATGACCATAATTAAAGATTGCATTTTTCGTGTAATGTATATATAATCCAGGCACCGAGGAATACATCGACGCTTGCCAAAGCCTGAGAGGCACTGATGTAAAAATGGTTTTCAAATTTAAAATCACATCCAGACTTGCCATCCAGAAACAGAGAAATGATGTTTTAGAAAATTCGAAAAGGTGTCGGGGAGACTGCGTATTCTTATGGAGGGAATTCAGGAATTAATATTTGGAGAGGGGGACCCCTGGCCGCTCCCTGCTGCCTAGACATCCAGCGGCGCCGCTAGTGAGAAGGTGGGGGGCATGCCTCAGCCCAGGGACCTGTCCTTGAAATGAGGATGCACCCTATAAAACAGAACACCTGCTTGTAGCAGCCCTTCACCGTGGTCTCCAGGACTTGTGTTTTTTGGCCAAGTGCACATCACTATGTCTTTTGATCGCTGGAGCTGTGTATTTACAGCTTTCTGCAAAATTATGTGTATTTACATTTGAATTGCTTCTGCAGCCCTCATGCAGTCCCACGCAGCGGATTATAAAATTCATCACAGATCATCACTCTTCCGTGTGTATTAGCAGCAAGGCAAAGTCAACCTCGGGGCCAGAGGCCACGCTGCCCGGAATGATCGGGAGGCAGCTCTCTGTACATACGTACCCGGCTGGCCCATCACACTCGGGCGGGCCTGCTGCTTTTCAGGAATCCATTAGAGATTTTAAAATGTATAAAATCAGTCTCCTCTACACCAGCCTCCCTCAAGCCTCTGGCTGGGCTCCCTCTCAGGATTCCGCTGAGGTTTCTCTGAGGGGACAAGCTCATTTATTACCCTGTCACCCTAAGACCTGGACCTTTTCTGGTCTTCAAATGTCAGTTGCATTAAACCACATCCCAAGGACACTCTTCCTTTTAGAAGAGCCCAGCCTCCTACCCCACCTCTAACTCTTGACATCTGGGTCTGTGCTACCTCTGGCTGGCTGGCCAGTCCCTCTCTTCTGCTTATACCTGCCGAAGAATGTCTATATTTCTTCCCAATTCAACTAATTTTAAAGGATCAGCTGCTGGCACCAAAGTGGCTCAGGCAGGAGACTTGGTACGGGGCGTGCCTGCAGGACAAGGTCCTGCAAGAAGCCCGTGAGTCTTCTCCCAGCCAAGGGGGCCGGGGGCTGTCCCTGGCATGTCTTTCCATCATGCACGTGTACATTAAGAGCGCGAAAGCCTGCTTTCTCTTCCCTCCGGTCATGCTTCTCAGCTCTCTCCTCAGGCTCCTCATGAAGTCTGAGTCCAGGGCGTTGATTCCTCCCTTCCTTCCAGACAGCAGCGAGATGAAGAGACCCCCGAGGACTTCTTCTACTTCATTGACTTTCAGAGACACAACGCCGAGATCGCAGCTTTCCACCTGGACAGGTAGGGTTGCGCCCCCGCAAGGACGGACCACCACAGGGCCGCTGGGCAGACCTCAGGTGGGGCCTTCCTGGCACTTCTTCCTTCTGGCACCGGTCTTCCTCGTGAACCTCAGTGGCGCCTTTGAACTCAACACATTTCCCATTTAACCCCACGTCTGAACAACACGAGGCCTCTAAGATGATGAAATGAATGACCTAGAAAGAGAACCAACCCTGCCAGGCTGCTCAGGCTGCCGCCTTGGACCTGACCTTGCTCTTTGCTCTAGTCTTCTGATTGGAAATGGGAAGAATGCATCCACTCCCATGTATCCCAGGAGTCTTAAGGTTATGATATGAAAAGGTTGAGGGCAGCACGGGTGGCTCAGCGGTTTAGGGCCCCCTTCAGCCCAGGGTGTGATCCTGGAGACCCAGGATCAAGTCCCTCATGGGGCTCCCTGCATGGAGCCTGCTTCTCCCTCTGCCTGTGTCTCTGCCTCTCTCTCTGTGTCTCTCATGAATAAATAAATAAAACCTATAAAAAAAGAAAGAAAAGGTTGAAAGCACACTCATGAACTTCCTCCCCTCCCATGTGCCTGTCGTGGCTCCTCTAGGTGTGTTTTATTGGGCTGGCAGTCGGGGCATCACCCTGGGAGCTTTTCAGAAATCCAGGATCTCGGGCTCCCCCTGGACCCGCTGAATCTGAGCCTGCGTGTGAGCGAGATCCCAGGTCACACATATGCTCAACTGAAGTATGGAAAGCTCTGACCTAGAACACAGGTGGTGGGAAGGCTGGCCCAGGAGGCTTGCTAGAATAAGGATTCCTTCTCCACCCCTCCTCCAGCCCCTTTAGATACAGGTTGGCCCCGGGCGCGGTCGGCTCAGTACTGGCCAGGCTGGGTACGGTCAGGAATGCCATTTCCAATGGGCCACCCTCCGGCCCCCTGACTAGTCCTCAGACATGAACAGGGCTTTCTCTCCTGCAGGATTCTGGACTTCCGCCGGGTGCCACCCACAGTGGGGAGGCTAGTCAATGTCACCAAGGAAATCCTGGAAGTCACCAAGAATGAAATCCTGCAGAGCGTTTTCTTCGTCTCTCCAGGTAGAGAACTGGCCAGAACAACGTGCTGGGGTGAAGAGCACGGCCTGAGCTCCCGCCCTCATTCGGATGGCTATAGGCTGCCCTCAGGCCCTCCCACCCCGGCCCACCTGAGCATCACCCCAGGCGAACTGGGGATGGGAAAGGTAGTCTGTGAGATGCCAAGTAGCCTGTGTGCGCGGGAACTGCCCTGCCAGCCTCCTGGAACCAGATGTCACCTGTTCAAGCAAAGAGCATTCTAGTCACCTGAATGGGATGCAGTGGGGCTGGGTCCCGCACTTTCTCCGCCCTGAGACATCTGAAAAATTGGTACCCAGGATGCTCGGTTTACGAGCGCTCACAAGCCCCGACGCCGGGGAAAGCAATAGTTTCTTCTTTGGCCTCTTCCCTGGCTGAGCGTTGAGGCTTTCCCCTCCCTCCTGGAGGATTCGGGGGGCGGGGGTGGGAGCAGGAACATGGCATTGCCTCCTTCTCTTAGGCCTCCTCTCTCTCTCCTCCTGCACCCTCCAGCCAGCAACGTGTGCTTCTTTGCCAAGTGCCCGTATATGTGCAAGACTGAATATGCCGTCTGTGGCAACCCGCACCTGCTGGAGGGCTCCCTGTCCGCCTTCCTGCCGTCCCTCAACCTGGCCCCCAGGCTGTCTGTGCCCAACCCCTGGATCCGCTCCTACTCGCTGGCAGGAAAAGAAGAGTGAGTGGGCCCCCTGGCCGTGGTGCCGTCCCTTGCGTGGGGCTGCAGTCCCTGCACCGAGGCCTTGCAGCCAGCCTGGCTCTCGGATCCCCAAACCCCAGTCATTTCCTGATCTCGTCCCGATCCTGGGGCCAGCTGTGCCTGTTCTCCCCCCTTTAGTTCGGGTACTCAGTCACAAAGAGCCTCCTATGTGCAAGGGGGTATGGAACTGAGAGACACGGGCTCTCCTCTCCAGAAGCTCCCAGCCCTGGGGAGTGGGGGGGCGTCAGACCAGTAGCCAGATTATGAAAACACAGTGGCACCCTTGCTGTAATCTGGAGAAGCACATGCAGAGCCGGAAGGAGCAACACCTGCTCCACCTGCTCCACCTGCTCCACCTGAGTAAGCCCTGGAAAGCCAAGCCCCAGAGTTGTTCCCCCCACTCCAGGCCCCCCGGGACCAAGCGCACCCCCTGGCACATAGTAGTACTTGGTTTCTATCAGCTGAATGAATGAATAGTCCCAGTGGGAAGAGAAGTGAACAGGGAAGGGTCCCTGGAGGACACGACAGATCCTAGAGGACCCACGAAGGCTGAGCCGGAGCGAGCCCAGCAGATGGAGGGACGGGGGGGCATCCTAGCAGCCAGAGCTTGGGAGAGAGAATAAGGGCCTTGAAGGGAACGGGGGCTCCGAATGGTCCAGGAGAACTAGGGGGCCAGGTCCAGGGGGCTCAGTGACAGGAGCTGCAGAGAAGCAGGTGAGGGACAGGTGGCCTCCTGCCCCACCGCCTCCCCTCCGGCCCACGGTAACCCAGCCATCAGTGTAGCGCCCAGCAGAATGGATGCTCAAGACCCAGAACCTTCTTCTCCCCCACGTGGGAGTCTGCAGCCTGCCACGTGTCTTTGCCCCGGGGCCCCCCATGTACCCAGCTACCTACAGCCTGCAGGCCAGGAGCTGCCGGCAGCCCGGGCTGGGATGAGGGAGCCGGGACTTGGGGGGCGAGGGCAGGTGTGAGGAGGGCCCCCAACACCTCGCCATCTTGGCTCTTCCAGCCCCAGGACTTCTTCTCCCCCTCAGGTGGGAGGTCAATCCGCTTTACTGCGACACCGTCAAACAGATCTACCCGTACAACAGCAGCAACCGCCTCCTCAACATCATTGACATGGCCATCTTCGACTTCCTGATAGGTAGGTCCCCGCGCTGGGGCACTTGGTGGCCCTGGCCCTGGCCCCGGCTGTTGGGCTGGGATTCGCCGTGACCTTGGGCAACGAGGCAGAGCCTGGACTCTGAGGCCCGAGGAACCTCGCACGGCCCACAGCCTCCAAGTGCCAGAGGCCCCAGAGGACAGAGGTGAACGTGCTCCCCTTGTCAGAGGGGACCTCACTCAAGGCTGGCCCCCAGGACCCAGGTTTTCACCAGGTGAAAACCATCCACACGAGGGTCTGTTTGTTCCATTGGCTTCCTTCTCCCTCTGCACCATCGCCGATAACCGTGGGAAGCGTGGGGCCCTGGGCTCAGATTCCTGACTCAACTGCGAACAGGCCTCCGTGCCCGGGGAGGACGCAGACGTCCGAAGCATCCGCCCTCCTTTACAGGAAATATGGACCGGCACCATTATGAGATGTTCACCAAATTCGGGGATGATGGGTTCCTCATCCACCTTGACAACGCCAGAGGGTAAGCGTCCCAACACGGCTGTCCCGGCCGTAGCTGCTCAGGACAACCCCAAGGCCCCCCGAGAATGAGGCCCTTCCATGGTCACCGTCCCTGTGTCCTGGCCCGACTTGTTCCAGTTCCTCTTTCTCCTGATCTTTGCTAAGTAACGCTGGATTCTCCTCCAACCCGAGAGCATCCTGGTGAGACAGACTGATGTTTCCCACATTTCTTTACTCAATGCTTCAGTCTGGGAGGCAGAGCGCATGGCCCATCCTCAGTGTCTGGCCCCCTGTAGTTAGGGAATGAATGAATGAGTGAATGAAGGAAGGAAGAAGGAATGATGCCGGCACAGAGGCTCTTGGGAGCTGATGGACAAGGAGGGGGCTGCAGAGGCAGCTTCCATGGCCCCTGGCACTTTACCCCACGCTGTGAGTCCAAACAAGGCTGAGGGAGAGGAGACTGGAAACCATTAGGAGGGAAGTGCTGCGGGCCACCCTGAACGCCCATGTCCCCTTCCAGGTTTGGACGACACTCCCAGGACGAACTCTCCATCCTGTCCCCGCTGTCCCAGTGCTGCAGGTGAGCCTCCAGCTCCAGGGCAGGTGGCAAGGTGACTCTCCATGCCCCCACAGCCGAGCTCAGAAGGTCTCAGTGTTCACTGGGCTAGGACCCCGGTGGGTAGGGGAGCAGGAATGACCTCATTTCTTGTCCACTGACAGAATTTTCCCCGGCAACCCCCATCTCTCCCATCTGTCAGCAGAGGATGAATGAGGACCTCATCTTTTAAACCCTTCAGTTGCCAACTTTAATCTCGAACCCACTCAGAGAAGAGCTCACCCTTGCAGAGCCTGATAGTCTTTGACACGACTAATCAGATTCCCTGCTTCGCTCAGCACTTAACATAAGCTCGTAAATATTACTACTTGCTCACCATCTAAGTAAAATCCTGATTAAAGCCCCATAAACTGGGGACGCCTGGCTGGCTCAGTCGATAGAGCATAAGACTCTTGATCTCAGCGTCGTGGATTCAAGCTTCACATTGAGTATAGAGATTACTTAAGAATAAAATATTTAGGGCCACCTGGGTGACTCAGTCAGTTGAGCATCCAGCTCTTGGTTTTGGCTCAGGTCCTAGTCTCGGGGTCATGGGATCAAGTCCCAGGTCTGGCTCTGCACTCAGCACAGAGTCTGCTTAAGACTCTTCCTCTCTCTGCCCCTCTCCCCTCAAAAGAAACAAAACTAATCTTAAAAAAAAAAAATTTAAATGAAAAAAAAATCTTTAAAAAGTCCCACAAATTCGTGTCAGATTGAAAGGAAGTCCTTTGACCTTTGGCCACCATTCGCTAGAGAATGTCTAACCCACTTCCATACCTCTCTGGTGTCGAAGTCAGGCTTGTGAAATGGCCCGCCTGCTTGGAGCTAACTAGAAATACGTGCTGCGTGCCTAGCAAAACCACCTCATTTATTTCTAGCTGGAAAACTCTGAGCAAAGCAGGTTCTTTATCCACTTTTCGGCTCATTTAAACGTGCCTCCCTCCAACCCTCCCTCTCCTGAGTGGACAGGCAGTGGTTGTTGATGACAAGTCAGACAATTAAGCGGCTTACACATCTGAGTGCAAGTCAAGATTCTCACATAAAATGAAATCAAAATCCTCAAGTCGAGATTGGTTCCACCCCATTTCCGTCTAATAGTCTGATACAGAGAAATAAAGTTGGCAAGAAAACAGCTTAGAGGTGGAGGGTATCTATGGCTTTTGAGATGGCAAATATCTTCATCATTTCACCTACCAGAAACTTCTCTCAGTGGCTTTAAATCTCCTTGAGATGTTGTGAACAGGTCACTTATTTCCTTTTCCCCAGTTTTCATTCACATGTGCTTGAGGAAACACTGGGGGAGAGAAGGCTCCCAGAACAGCTACGACAGCTGTTTGTGGGGAAAGTTGAGGCAAGCCTTTTCTCTTCACATTTACTTACTTGCCTCCTCTGACTCTGTCCTTCCAGGATAAAGAAGAAAACGCTTTTGCACCTGCAGCTGCTGGCCCAGGCCGACTACAGACTCAGTGACGTGATGCGGGAGTCTTTGCTAGAAGACCAGCTCAGCCCAGTCCTCACAGAGCCCCACCTCCTGGCCCTGGACCGGAGACTCCAAATCATCCTACAGACAGTGGAGGGGTGTGTGGAGGTCCACGGAGAACAGAGTGTCATAGCCCTTGACTCAGCAGAACAGTCAGCCCCGGACTCTAGCCAGGCTAACTTGACAAGCTAAGGGCTGGATGAAGCCAGATTTCGGGAACTGTATGTGGAGCCAGCAGTGGACTCTTGGGGGTGGACCACTGCTTCCTTGCGTCCCCGTCCATGCTGGCGGTGCTGGGTCATGAGCTCTGGAAGAGGCAGGGCACTGGGATGATTCCACAAGAAAAAAAGAAGAGGGACCCACTCAACTTTCTTCCTTGGTGCGTGGCTTCTCTAGTGGAACTCCCTCTTTCCCAAAAAGCACTGCTTCATCAAAGCCACAGACCATCCATCTCCTGAGCCCACCGGGCAATCTGGATAGGAGTTGGGCTTGGAAGGATTGGAAGCCTTGTCCCAGAAAAAGAGTAGAACAAATAAAATTAAAGGACACCAATGGACACCTAGCTGACCTCCAGATCCTTATTATATCTACAAGGATCATTTCTGATCCAGATAAAACATCTGGCATCTCACGAGGAGACAAAAAAAAATATCTAAAAATGGTTAGCTCTCAAGCTGGTTCAAAGTAGACTTCACACTTTCTATGTATGTCCCAGTCACCGTGGCCCAAACTGAATATAGTAATCCCTTACTGAACAGTCCCAAAGCAAGCTCTCAAAAATGTTATTATGAGGGATAAAAAATAACATAGGGATTTGCTCAGAATATCTCAAAGGGGATGTTTTCAATCTGAAGAGTATTTAAGTATCAACCAAAATAACATCAAGTATGTCAAATTTAGCCTCCAGCAACAATAGAAGGAATTGTAATGAAGGGAAAACCAGGGTAGTCTGGTTGTACAAGTAGAAGATGGAAGAGCATAGGAAGGAGCCTAGCAGGTGCATGAGCCTGGACTCAGGCAGGAGAGAAGCCAAGACCTACCAGAGCCCACCCACCACAATCCTCTTTTCCACAAGGTCCCAGAACAGTAGTCACCCACCAGCCCCCAAGAGAAGCAGGAGGCTCTGAGGTCTGACACCCTAGATGCCCCACCCTTGAGCTGCATTATCAAAAAACGACTAAATCAAGTTGACTTTTTACGATTTTATTTATTTGATTGAGAGTGAACAAGCACGAGCAGCGGCAGAGGGAGAGGGAGCAGACTCCCCACCGAGCAGGGAGGCCAACGTGGGGCTTGATCCCAGGACCCCGAGATCATGATCTGAGCTGAAAGCAGACGCTTCACTGACTGAGCCCCCCCCCCACCAGATACCCCTCAAGTTTCGAAGCCTCTCTTAAAAATGGCTGGGTTTGGGATCCCTGGGTGGCGCAGCGGTTTAGCGCCTGCCTTTGGCCCAGGGCGCGATCCTGGAGACCCGGGATCGAATCCCACGTCGGGCTCCCGGTGCATGGAGCCTGCTTCTCCCTCTGCCTGTGTCTCTGCCTCTCTCTCTCTCATTCTATGTGACTATCATAAAAAAAAAAAAAAAAAAAAAAAAAAAAGGCTGGGTTTGGGATCCCATCCCCTCAGCCTCCTCCCTACTGACTTGCCAACATCTGAGACACCTTTCATAGGAGGCTTGGTTTCTTATTTTGTAATTCATGTCTGAAAACCCAAATGATAGGAATGTATTCACACTATAGAGCAATTAGTCAACAAGTAAAAATGGCTGATATCAGCACATCCATTTCTCTGAGAAAGGCCAGAGGCTCAACTCTACAAGTGTGTGTGTGTGTGTGTGTGTGTGTGTGTAGGGGGGATGTTGAGCAAAGCTGTCGGTGGGTACCAGGTCAGGCACCATAGAGGTCGTCCAAGCCCTGACAGGACAAGTTAACATGGGTGTTTCTGACCCACCGGGTACCCCACATCATTGCTGCATTACCTTGGACCCTGTGTCTCCATGACAACAACATCAGAGCCACTCACTGAGCTCTTCCCACACAGAGAATCCCTTACCTCCAAGGTACACAGAAAAAAAAAAAAAACTGTCTCACAAAATCATAAAACATAATGATTTAAACCTACTCCCAAGTGTTCTTTCCACCATAATACAAAAACCTGAGAGTACTTCAATGTGTGGTTATGTTTATGTAAAAAAAAAAAAAAAAATCAACCCTTTAGTAGGACCTCCACCCTAGAGGCTTCCATCACTTGTGGGCTCTACTGCTGCTCAGGGCTTCCCACTTCACAAACTGTCTCCTACTTTGGGTGGAGGGACCAGATAATTGCACACAGAGGAATGGCAGAAAAATATTTAGGCAAAGACACTCAAAGAACAGCACTTGAATGGTCTGGCATATCAAACTGCAGAGCCTAAGGAAGGTAAGCCACAGCTCCATCCCAAACCCAGCCACTTCTAGGACAGTGCGCTAGTTTTCAAATGGCCTACAATAAAAATTGTGGTGTATTTTAAAAGGGTAATAGCATGGAGTTCGATCACAGTATGTAAAGTACCAAGTTACCTAATTTATTACTTCAACACCCCATTATTTTTCACTAATGCAAAGATTAAGACTCTATCATTTGTTTAAAAAAATACCAGAAAACAAAAGACTCCTTTCTTAGAATGGTCAGCTTCTCCCAACATGACTCCTTTTTCATTGACTTACCATAACACAAAAACTCTCCTGTCACTCTAACAACCGTTCACTTTACTACTGACAATGTAGTAGTAACAATGAAAAGTGTACAGTACGTAAATTGGTAGGGAGAAGGGTTTGAAGGAATTCGTCTTTGCCTACCCAAAAGCCAGGACAATCTGAGTTGAAGACTGTTAAATGTAGTTGGTCCTCTTATTTGGGGTAATTTTATGGTCTATGAAGTCACCACGGACACCAAATTAGTGGAGACTGCACCATTTGCTCCTAGAGGAAATAAAGGGTTTAGATTCCCATGAGGCTCTAGTTACAATTCTGTAAACAAATCAATACACAATCCTGTCTTACGTGTTAAGGTGTGTTAAAGACACCATATTACGTATCATTGTTTTACCGCAAGTTCAGGGCGGCCCAGCACATAACCCAGGCCTTAAAGAAGCTAGTTAAAACACCTGTTTGCTCTATAAGACACACGATCACAGCCTCCTTGGCCTTAGGAACACTACCCAGCACTTTATCCCTACACTTGGGGGCCATATTAAATACCAACATCACCAGCAGAAAGCACAAAAAAATGCCAGAGCAGCACTAGAGAGACCGTGAGCCGGGCATCTGATGGCAGCGGGAGAGCCAGAACCACAAAGCAGAGCACCGCTCTGTTCAAAGTCAGCTAGGCACACATGCTTTGGGAGAATCAAAAGTCTCTGCCACTCCACTCATGTCCGAGAATGCTCTGAGTACTGACTTGGGGGTTACTAATACCTTTAAGCAGGTAGGCAAATCCACAGAATTCGCAAATAAAACCAGGACTAAGCCGAACTCCTTGGACATGAACTGAGATGATAAAACCAGTGCTCTCCATCTAGTGGTGACTTTGAGAATCACAAAGCTACGTAAGCTAAATTGGCAGAACGTGTACAAAATGAAAAAACTACACTCATTAGTGGTTTGAGTTTTAGGTGGACTCAGGATGAAGCCACAGCTCTGAACTTAATGTTAACAAATTTCACCAATAAATGTACACAGGAATACTGATTTCTATGCGAAAGCTCCACAGAGTAAGAAGGGAGAGATTCAAGACTCCTTTAGAATCTCCTATCTATGGCCTTTACTGATAGTGGTATGATAGCTACTTTGGGGGACATATTAAAGGTGAGCTGGCCACTGCCTCTCAATGTTGTTCCAGCTCATCTAGCAATATATGGCCAGGACTGAACAAAAATACAAAAAGATTCAGTTATTAATTTGTGATTGTGGAGATAAAGCAGTATTAAGAAAACAAACATCATGCCACTCAATTTTAAAATGTCAACATTGGGACGCCTGAGTGGCTCAGCGGTTGAGCTCCTGCCTTCAGCCCAGGGCATGATCCTGGAGTCCCGGGATTGAGTCCCACATCAGGCTCCCTGCATGGGCCTGCTTTTCTCTCTGCCTGTGTCTCTGCCTGTCTCTCATGAATAAATAAATAAAATCTTATAAATAAATAAATAGTCAATATTGAAGTCATTAAAAAACAAAAAAAACAATTTCACATGAGCCAGTGTTCTAGAAGGAGAATGAAACTAGAACCAGTCTAGTCAATCCAAAGAAGTTTTCTTCGGTTCTAATATATGGTGATGCTAAATGTTCCCTGTCCAGTGGGCTGAGGGGAAGGGCCTACTGAATCCTGATAAAGTGCACCTGTTACAAAGGAGCACAAATTCAAGAATGTTCTAGAACAGGAACATCTCCAACCTCACTGGATGTGAAGGATTTAGTACCAATAAACTAATGAGTATAACTTAATCATCTCAGAAATCTGAAGAATATCAGAACTAAGACTTTATGAATGTAAAGTATACCCAAGTAAGCACGCCCAAATACCCAAAGGCATGTATTAAATTTAAACCAGAGTACGCTGATCCAGAAATGACTTTTCCCAGAAGTCTGGGAAAGTTCCAAGACCAGAGAACCAGTCTGCCTCTAATAAAAAGGAAACTTTTTTGGCTTTTGATTTCATCCTCTCCTTCTATTATATTATACACTAAAGAGATCTGCTTCAATTCAATCATGCTTTAAGTAAGGATCTGAGATTCACTCTTTGGAATGGGTTGGAAAACACAAAACAAACATTATTCTTTCAAATACTAATCCTGTAATTGCCTCTTGATTTTCATTCTTGCCCACCAGATTACAAATCTCTGGGGGAAAGGGGGAAGAAGACAAGAAGGAAAGGAGAAAGGGAAGAAAAACTGATCCATTTTAGAATTTAAATTATTTAATCTTTTTTATTATACTTGACCTACTGTTAAGACAATCTATAACAAAAAGAATAGAGTATATTAGCACACACAGTATAATCAGACTAGTAACCAGGAAACGATACAAAATGGTCCTTTGGCCATCTATACTTTCTAGAGCAGTAGATCACTTAAATTCACTTACCATGCCCAGAAATGCCTTCTAAAGCCCTGAATATCAACTAAGACAAATTATGCCAATTGTGATTTCTCACATATACTCAGATTGCACAAGAGAAAGCTTTAAATGTGATAATTTTTAAATTTAGACTTAAAATTCCTTAGATTAAAAACTACAAAAGGGAGTAAACAGCAAGCCAAATGATTTAAGAGCAAAACTCATTTAGAAAGCATTATATGTATCTAAATGTACATGAACATGATTATATACATATATGAAAACTGTGCAAATTTATGGCATTCTAAATAATTCATTTAAGTACAGTTTTGGCATTTAAACAGATCAAATCAAGCTTTCAGCTAATAAGAACATAACTTTTATTTTTAATTTTTTAAATAGAAAAAGGTAGCTAAACACAAAGTACAGATCAGAAAACCCTCATTTAATACAGATTTTGAAAAAATAAAAAAATTTGTAATAGGTGGCTTTCTATTTCACACTAAAATGTAAAATAATACCTCTTTCCCAGATCTATACTCCAAACTTAGTTAACAACCTAAAGACTGTTTAAATCTATGAAACAATCTACCATGACCAATTTAAATTACCCAGGAAAGGGTAGGAGAGGGGATTAATAATCAGGGCCAGTTGCACACAGATGGAAAAATGCTTGCAGTCACTCCCAAATAGAATCCTACATTACATATAAATCACAATGAAAATAAAAGTGCCTAACGTTATAGAACTGGGAGATTTTGTTTAAAAAAAAATCAATAATAATAAAAATAAACCGCTGGGTATCATTGGTGCACATGGAATAACATAACACATAAGGATGATAAGGCTGGAAAATACGGAAAAACAGTTAAGACTCAAAATACAAGTTTACTTTTAAAAAACCAAAAAAGTTTGCCAGAGAAATAAATGCTCAATAGAAAAGCAGAACTTTCAGCAGGATGGCCTTTTAGACCAATCTGAAACAACACGGACACACCCTACCCCACCCCCAACCTATCACAAATTCTAGGTGATGTAAAAAGAAGGGAAAAAGGTAAAATCAAAGTAAAACACTTCTTCCCAAATCTCATGTCCCAGTGAATTTAGTGGGACAGAGTCCCCAACACTGAACTTTGTCCCCCTGGCATTTCTCCTTTACCAACATCACCTCCGTTCTTCTGTTAGGACGTCTGTTCCATCTATCCTGTCTACTCCCAGGAAACCCAATCTCCTGGAGCCAGCATTTAATGAACATAGGAGAGAATCCTGGAGTCAAATGAAGGATATACATCTCGCCAAAAGCTCTAAGTTAACAACCAAGAATGTAGACCTCAAATTCTTATTCTCAATTCAGCATCTGGTGATCAATATTTGGCACTCGCTGGAAAAATAAAGGTCTAATCAGAATTTCGGAGCTGAGGCAGATGTGGTTAAATCATAACTCGGTTATCTGCAGTCTATGATTTGGTTTCAAGCTCCAAAGGCAGGCACAGGTAGCCACACCCACACGCTTCAGAATTGGAGGAAACACTAGTAACGAGATACAAAAAAACCAGGCGGATGAGCTTGACAAAAATTCTGGTTAAGAGGAAAAAAAAAGAAGAAGAAAACAACTCGACAAATTATATCCATCCAATAATTAGCAAAAATGGGCATTTTTCCACCCTTAACTAGTTTAAATACAGGCAGATGTCTTTCTACTCTACTAAGATTTTTCTAGATCTGTTTCTCCTCATCCTCAGAGCTTAATGAGAAATCATTTATTCTATAAAGAAACACAGCATATATGGCCACAGTCTAAAATATACTTATGATAACCGGAAAATTAGGTCACTTAAAAAAAAAAAAATCTTGCACTGTTACACCATTACTCTACGGTAATTCACGTGGTGCAGGGATGCGCCCTCACCAGGAAGCAGGGCCCGCGCTGCCTAGGTTGAACACTAACACTGCACACAGAGAAGCAGTAACAGCAAAGTCTCCACAGAACTCTTTCTATTTATTTAACTGTGTAGGAGCATTCAGTCAATGCTCCAAATTAAAAACGGTGCAATAAAAGCAACTTTTAATATAAACAGACGAGAAGCTGCGGTACCAGCGGCCACATGGCGCTGTGAAGAGGAAGAGAAAGCAGTCTGCAGCAGGGAGGCCTGGACTTGGGGGTGGGGGGTGGGGTGGGGTGGGAAGGGAGGCACAGGAGGCCCATCTCAGACAGACAGCGACACAAAACTGTTGTACTGCTGGATGTTTCGTTTGAGGATATCTGAGCACGGGCCAAGAACGCGTTCGAATCTGGGTCGGTCCAGCTTCACACACTTCAAGGGGCCACGAGCCACCACCGTGGCAGCACGAGGACGATTCATCAGGAGCGCAATCTCACCTGGTGAGGTGAGAAGACAAGAGGAAGGGCTGGTGAGCATCAGGTGTGTGTGGGGGGGAACGCTCACATAGGGGTGCACTTCTGACAGAATTAAAGACAATTACTTATTTGTCCTATTTGTCCTAATAATTCAATAACTTAGGACAGGCCACATGACATCTGCACTTTAAAAAAACAACCAACCAATTGATAGATAGGAGACAGTCATTTGATTATTAACAGGGTCAAGGTCAAAATCTCATAGGCTCTCTGAGAGCCAGGAAGGAAAACAATTAAAATATAAACTTTGGAAGAAAGACAAAACTAAGTCTATGCTATCTCACTGAGAGGAGACTTAGGCTACGTATTTATTTCAAGGAAATGCACATACCAAAATAATCAGAAGGCCCCAATCTTCCCACTTCAACAAACTCTTCATTTTCTGACCGACGCTGTAGCACAGCAGCTGAACCCTATAATAAAATCACCAAAACAGCAAAACAAATACTTTCAAAACCAGGGTGACATTTTAAATATCCTATGCAATTTTGACTACTTTGTTAAAAAAAAGAAGGAAAAAAAAAAGGACTCAGCAGGCATTTCAATCCTCCTGCCCACGTGAAAGATAACCAAGTCCCGTCAGGAGCTTTAAGCCCATCTACCCAGCAGCTGCTGCTGGGAGGTTCTCCTCATCACGCTAAGGACCCTAACAGGTTAGCAAACTGCAGCCAGAGAGCCAGACCCAAGATCACTACGTATTTTTATAAATAAAATGTTATAGGAACAATACACCAATTCATGTACACACTATCTATGGCTACTTTTGTACTATGATGAAGAGCTGAGTCTTTGCAACAGAAACCCTATGGCTCACAAAAACCTCAATGACTTACCAACTAGCCCTTCACAGAGTCCCTCGACTCCTGCCTTAACCAATTAGCATCCACTGAGCCACATTCAAAGAAAATCTGCTCTTTCGCTCTGCTGGCAGGCAAGAACATCTATCTGCTATACGTTTCCATGAATTGTGAAGATATAAAACACAGTAACTGTCAGAATTTAAATACTTGCCTTCAATCCTTGTTTGCCAAATAGTCCAGATATATGATTTTAACAAGGATGGTAAAGAACTGTACTGGTCATGCTAAACGGTTGAGTTTACTTTGGCTTGTGTGATAAGTAGAGTAGGCTATGACTTCGTGAAAGCCCTTCTGACTCAAACCTACTTAAAGTGTGGTGGCCGGGCAGAAAACCAAACAGCACCACTTCAATTTTTTAATAAAATCATCAGGTATTCTTAAAAAAAAAAATGAAGCTATAAACCAGAATTAGCTCCTTTATTCTCTCTTATGCTATACACAAGCTTTTTTTTTTTTTTTTTTTTTTTTTAAGGATCCAGCGCAAACGCCTTTACCTCTAAAATAATGAAGAACTCATCCCCTGGTTCTCCCTGTACCACAATCTTCTGCCCGTCTTCAAACTGAACGGGTTCCAATGCATCAGCTACCGTGAGACGTTCCCACTTGTCCAGAGATTCTGAAATGCAAGAATCAAAAAGAATTTCTCTACATTAGTTGTCACTGCTAAAAATGCCAAAACAAAACTACAAAGAGAATCAGACAGCTGTGCCCATCCAATAGTCCAGTAGTGTTAAGGGTCAAACATGGCACCTCTCCTCAATTACCTCAAGTCTCAGCAAGATCCTATTACTTACAGGTAACCCTTAGATCCTTACTTCAGGAGTCCAGTGGCCAGGTTAATTTATATCAACAGCACTCAATGGTAAAGGAATAAAAAAATGTAATCATTAAGTCTTCCTAAATGCAAATCAAACCTACAAGATATACAAGACCCAAAGGTCATAGTGTCACCAACCGTACCATTCCAAAGGTTCGCAGCAACTTCTATTTAAATCCTAAGTTGAATGTATTTATGAAACCAACGAGGAGGACTAGACAATAATTTCAGTTCCCAAAGGCCAAACTAAAACTCAAGTCACTAAGTAAATGTAACCCTTTCAGAAAAAGGGAAAAGGTGCAATGGGTTGAACAAAACAATAGCAGCAGATGATTACCTAAGAATCACCACCCCCCAGGAAAGAACAGGTTGCAACAGCATTCTAAGGCCACGAAACCAAATTCAACTATCTCCTATTAATCTGCTTTAGTCTAAACTTCACCAAATTTCTAGCACTTTTTCAGAGAAAGCCAGAAAATGACACCTAATCTTTCTATCAGAGAAAAGGCATTCTCAGCAATAATCGCTTTCCTGAACCAATAAACTCATCGACGGACAAGAGATACAGATATCATAGGAGGAATGACTACCAATGTTTGTCATCAAAGGAGGACACTTTTAGCCTTCCTGTCTCTCCCAGAGGGATGATTAAGTAGCATGTAATTCCAGAAAGCTTTTCCCAGGTCCACCATTTCCAGTTTTAATAGGTATGTCACATACTAGCAAGTTAAAATACACTGTAAAACTACTTCTAACTTCAACTTTGTATCCTATACATTTTGCATTACTATTAATTAATTGGGAAAAAGTGAGTTGATAACCGGAGTTCTTATGTAATACAACAGGTTCTCCTTAACTGTTACCAACACTTCAATGATTCTCCATGCAATCTTCCAAAACTCACCTAAAATAGATACTTTACTAAGAAACTCCTCATACATCTTCCGCTTTCTCAGAGTGCTTCCCTATAAATGAAAAAAAAAAAATAACAAGTCACCTCAAAAATGTGTAATTATCACATAATGCTATGGAACAATAAACATTAAGTGTTAAGTAAACAAAAAACGTCAAAGCTTGTTGCCACTTCCTGATACAGGATTTTTTTCCTTCAGGTTGGTAATAGTAAATCCTCTGTTGAACTCAATAAAAACCTTAGTAACTTGCTCTTAAAGGTAACACCAGGCTGGGGGCACCCAGGTGGCTCAGTTGGTTAAGAGTCTGACTTGATTTTGGTTCAGGTCATGGTCTCAGGGTTGTGAGATTGAGCCCCAGGTTGGGCTCCATGTGCTGGGCATGAAGCCTGCTTGGGATTCTCTCTCTGCCTCTCCCTTCTCCTTCCCTCCCCACTTAAAAGAAAGAAAAAAGAGTAACACCAAACATACGGCCAAGGAAGGTGACTAATACCACCCGTTAGTGAAATACCAAATAATCAGTTCTCAAAAAAAACAACCAACATAAATGTGTGACTATAGCTGAATATATTTCCAGCCCAGGGTTCTTCCCCACAACCCCAATCCTTCACAGAGGGAAATAAAATTGCTACCACTTATATACCTCCCACCAAAAAACCGTGCCATAGCCCCAAACCTAACCAAACTGTCTTATCTGTAATGTTTGTTAAATATATCTGGGAGAAGGAGAAGGGTAAACATAGTCCTCTGTAATATCTTTACATGCACATACATTACTTATCTATACATACACATCCCAATACAGAGTATATTCGAAGTACGTCCAACCGCATTGTCAAATAGACTGATTGATAGGCATTGTATAAATTTACAGAAATCATTCAGGATGACTAATGCCATTAGCTGGCACTTAGACATCTAAAGCTACCTTATAAATCTGTCACAAAGTTCTCAAAAAGTCTGACTATTACCAGCAGATTGTTCCGATGGGTTTTATTACTGTTTACTCATTCAGCGAGAGGGGACAATTGCACTACTGATAACCCACTTGCAGCTGAGGGAAGCCGATTACTTCTGAATGGCTTTAAGTCACTTTATTCACTTGGAAGTAGCACCTGTCACGCTATCTCAAGAGCAAAGATAAAGTGAAGATGGGCAAAGGGACAGACTTCCAAAGAGCTGACCATTACACATGTCACAATGTTTCCCATGCTTTTTTTGGCCAGACGTTTGTTCTACAAGATCTGGTGATATTACTCAAACATTAGGTACACGGAGTGGAATTCTAAATCACACTCTAAAAACCTCGCCGTCTCACCATGAGGATTCTTCTATAGCTGTCTCGGTCGATACCCCACAATTTCACATTTGTCTTTGCTTTGACTGTGGCTGCTCTAGGTGTTCCGTAGATCAAAGCAAGTTCCCCAAAGCTCCCTCCTTCCCCAACACTGGTTGCCCATTCGTTGTTGACATAGACCTAAAATACAAATGACAATCAGTTTTTTATACATATGCAAACTCAGAAGTATTAAAAACCTGTAAAAAAAAAAAAACCTGTAAAACTATTTCTAAGGGGTCAGAATCCTGAATTTTGTTCAAAATACAGAATATATTATGTTTTTATACAGCAGAGCAAAACAGTTAATGTCTAACAGTGAGTTAAATAAACCCAGTGTCTCTGATTTCCCTGGTTTAACTACCTAATAAGAAAAAGTTCCCATAGAGATGATCAGGGCAAAAAGGTAAACTAAGCATTACCAACCACATATATTTACGGAGTGACTATGTTAAGCATCTCACCTGCAGAAGGCATTGAACTAACAATCCTCTAACAGCAATGCTGTTATTATCTGCATTTCACTTGTAAACAAGACTTCCAGAATCAAGAGAGCTGTACCAAGTCTCAGTGCTAATGACCAGGTAGGACGAAGCCCCTACCTTACATCTGTCTTACCACATAGCACACACACACATATGCTTCAACCGTGACTCCAGCAAACATTTAAACCAAGGAGCAACTGGGTGGCTGTTAGTTATATGTCCGTCTCTTGATTTAGGCTCAGGTCATGATCTCAGGGTTGTGAGACAGAGCCCTGCATCAGACTCCACACGGGCATAGAGGCTGCTTAAGATTATCCCTCTCCCTCTGGTCCTCCTTCCCCCACTCTCATGGATATGCAATGTTTTCTCTCAAAAAAAAAAATTATTAAACTGAATATCTAGCTAAAGAAATTATCTTCAGTATAAGTTTCTGTCATTAAAATATTTAGCAAAAGACGTTGATGGAATTTGACATGCAAGGGTTATAACAGCCCTTCAGAAATTCTTAATAGTAATAAATATCAATATATTAACTTCTAAGATTATCAATCTATTTTTGCTATTATTAAATCTTACATCCATCTCTCCTTGATCAATCACATAGAAGTTATCTCCCTCATCACCTAAAAGAGAATAATAGAGTTAGATTGGCAACATAAAAAAAACACACACATCAGAAGTACCAAATTAATGTAAAATAATACATTTATTTTATAGAGGTGCTGAGAGAAAAGTGTATTAGAAATTAACACAATCTTTCAAGGAAAAAAAAAATCCAGCAATATATTTTTAAAGTCATAAGACTGACCAATTTTTTTAGTCATCTCATAGTGAACAGCTCTGAAAAATAACTTAAAAAAAAAAGCTACATGTGTATAAAGATTTTAAGTCCTACATCATCTGTAACAACCACAAAATAAGAAACAATTCAAAGAGCAAGTAACGAAATATTAGACTGTCACTAAGCTGGAAAATACATGGATTATGGAAACCTACGAAAATATCAAGAATTTTACAAAGTGGGGGAATACCCATAAGGTTAGATCCGTGTCAGTGTACAGGGCAAAAAGGTAAGAAATAGTAGAATGTGGGTGCCTGGGTGGCTCAGTGGTTAAGCATCTGCCTTTGGCTCAGATTATGATCCCCTGGTCCTGGGATGGAGAACCACATCAGGGTCCCTGCAGGGAGCCTGCTTCTCCCTCTACCCATGTCTCTGCCTCTCTCGTGAATAAATAAATAAAATCTTAAAAAAAGAAAGAAGAAACATAGAAGACACGAACCCTTATAAATACATGGGCTGTATGATTAAAAATGCAAGTGCTTTGCTACTTCCTACTTTATAAGTGATTAATAATCAACATAAAAGATACAGGAAGTATATATGGTTCTGAACTCCCACACAACATTCAAAATTAAAATGTAAGAATATCCTTTAAAAGTTACTATAAACAAAACTGTATCAGATACTAGAGAAATAGTAGCCCTTTAGGAAAAGTGTGCCTTTTAGCTCAAGGATTTTAACTTAAATAGGGTCAATTAAGATGATCATGATTATTATCTTTTTTTTTAAGAATTTATTTATTCATGAGACACAGAGACGAGAGAGAGAGAGAGAGAGAGAGAGAGGAGAGAGAAGGGCAGAGACACAGGCAGAGGGAGAAGCAGTCTCCATGCAGGGAGCCCGACGTGGGATTCAATCCCGGGACTCCAGGATCATGCCCTGGGCCAAAGGCAGGCACTAAACTGCTGAGCCACCCAGGGATCCCTGTCCTTCGTTTTGTTGATGTGGTGTATGGTGTTGATTTGTGAGTACTGGACCATCCCTGCATCCCCAAAATAAAGCCTGATTGTGGTGAATGATCTTTTTAATGTACTGCTGAATGCTAATATTTTGTTGAGTATTTCTGGATCTATGTTCTCAGTGATAATGGCCTGCAGTTCTTTTTTTATGGTGTCTTTGTCTTTTGATATAAGGGTAATGCTGGCCTTATAGCATGAATTTAGAAGCTTTTCTTCATCTTCTATTTTTTGGAACAGTTTGAGGAGAATAGGTATTAATTTTACAGGGAACATACCTCAATATAATAAAGGCCACATATGAAAACCCACACCTAACATCATACCCAATGGTGAAAACCTGAGAGCTTTCCCTCTAAAGTGAGGAACAAGACAAGGATGTCCACTCTCCCGCCATTTTTATTTAACACAGTACCAGAAGTCCTCCGCCAAAGCAATCAGATAAGAAAAAGAAATGAGGCATCCATATTGGTAAAGAGGTTTAAACTGTCATTATTTGCAAATGACATAATATTACACCTAAAAAGTCCTAAAGACTCCAACAATAAACTACTAGAAGTAACAAATGAATTCACTACAGTGGCAGGATACAAACTTAATAGCCAGAAGTCTATAGTATTTCTATACACTAATAACAAAGTAGCAGGAAGAGAAATCTAAAAAAACAACACCATTTACAACTGCACCAAAAAAGAACAAAATACGAAGGAATAAACCAAGGAGGTGAAAAATCTGTACTCCAAAAACTATAAAACACTAACGAAAGAAATTAAAGAGGACAAAAACAACTGGAAAGATATTTCATGTTCATAGACCAAAAGAGTTAATGTTAAAATGTCCATACTACTCAAAGCAATCTACAGCCTCAATACAATGCCTGTCAAAATACAAACAGCATTTTTCACAAAACTAGAACAAATAATACTAAAATTTGTATGGAACCACAGAGGATCCCAAATAACCAAAGCAATTCTGACAAAGAACAACAAAGCTGGAGGTATCACAATACCAAATAGATTTCAAGATATACTACAAAACTGTAGTAATCCAAACAGATTGGTACAGACACAAAAGGGATACATCTATCTATGAAACAAAACAGAGAGACCAGAAATAAACCCACAAGTATATGGTCAATCTATGACAAAGGACAGATGAATATATACTGGGGAAAAGATAGGTTCTTCAACAAATGATGCTGGGAAACCTGGACAGCCACATGAAAGAGAATGAAAATGGACCACTTTCTTACACTATACACAGAAATAAACACAAAATGGATTGAAGAGGTCAATGTGAGACCTGAAACAATAAAAATCCTGTAAGAGAAGATAGTACAGGCAATAATTTCTCTGACATTGGCCATAGCAACATTTTTCTAGATATGTCTCCTAAAGCAAAGGACCACATCAAAATAAAAAGCTTTGGCACAGCAAAGGAAGCCATCAACAAAACAAAACAAAAAAACAAACTACTGAATAGGAGAAGATGTGTGCAAATTATATATCCAATAAGGGGTATCTAAAATATATTAAGAACTTATACAACACCAAAAAACACAATCTGATTAAAAAATGGGGCATGGGGGATCCCTGGGTGGCGCAGCGGTTTGGCACCTGCCTTTGGCCCAGGGCGCGATCCTGGAGACCCGGGATCGAATCCCGCGTCGGGCTCCCTGCATGGAGCCTGCTTCTCCCTCTGCCTGTGTCTCTGCCTCTCTCTTTCTCTCTCTCTCTGTGACTATCATAAATAAATAAAAAATTAAAAAAAAAATGGGGCATGGGATCTCAATAGACATTTTTCCAAAGACATACATGACCAACAGGCACATGAAAAGATGTTCAAAATCATTAATTATCAGGGAAATGCAAATCAAATCCACAATGATTTATCACCTAACACAAATTATAATAGCTAAAATCAAAATGACACAAAATAAGTGCTGGGGAGGACACAGAGAGAAAGGAACCCTTGTGCACTGTTGATGGGAATATAAATTGGTATAGTCACTGTTTGGAAAGTAGTATGGAAGTTCCTCAAAAAATTAAAAATAGAAATATTTATATGATCCAATAATTCCACTAGTGGGTATTAAACAGAAAAAAAAAAATGAAAACACTAATTTGAAAAGATATATGCACCCGTATGTCTGTTGTAGTATTGTTTACAATAGCCAAGATATGCAAGTAACCAAAATGCCCATCAACAGATGAATGGACGAGGAAAACTTGGTGTATATACACAATAGTAGAATATTACACGGCCATAAAAAAGGATAAAATGGCGCCATGTGAAATAACATGGACAGCCTCAAAGGGTATTATGCTAAGTGAAATAAGTCAGACTGAGAAAGATAAATACCATATGATTCTTCTCATAAGTGGAATCTAAAAAAAAGAAAAGCAAACACACACACACACACAAATGAATAAACAACTGAAAAGCACAATCAGGCCTATAAATACTGAGAAAAAACTGACGGTTGCCAGAAGAGAAGAGTGGGAAATTGGGCAAAATGGGTGAAGGGGAGTGGGAGGTACAGGCTTCCAGTTATGGAATGAATAAAGAAATAAAAGGCTCAGTATAAGGGAAACAATCAACAATATTGTAATAGCAATAAAGGGAAAGATGGTACTACAACTGTGGTGAATACAGCATAATGTATAAACTTGTCAAACTACCAAGTTGAACACCTGAAAACTAATTTAACTTTGTGTGTCAACTGTACTCAAAAAAAGAAAGACGAGAAAAGAGGAAAATCCAATAGTATTATAATAGAAAATAGTGGACTGAAAGAGGAAAATAAACGTTAATTTAAAAAAAAAAAAATCCTAAGTCCCACAGTACCACAGGACACAGAAGCAGCAGTCCTTACCTTGCTGAATAACCGTCTCTCCAGCAATAAAGGAAACTGGAAACATGGCATCAAAAATATCACTGCAAGAGACGGAAGGCCTCAAGTTACATCTAACCTGCATCTTCTATGGAATTCAAACATTAACCTTAGACAGATTTTCAGCCCAGACTGTTCTCAGGTGAACAATTATTAGTCTTAAAACTTACAATGATAAGACTGGTCTGAGATCACAATTGTACTGAAATAACAGTATAACAAAGAAATTGTACCTACCTTCTCTCATTATCGTCAAGATGTGAAAAGAGCACATTCTTTTCAATGGCTTTAGCCAAAGCAGCCATCGTCTTATAATCCTTTGGTATAACCTAGAAAAGAAGGTCCAATAACAATCCCATAAATGAAAAACAGATCATGTTTCAACATGCATTTCAATTAAATGTCAAGACACATTACAGGATTTAAACTAGACTGCTTTGCCTTAAGTATTTAACACAACATATTTATAATATCTTTGATCTACAAAGTACTCAATAAATATTGACTAATTAATCCCCTTGCCTAAAACCAAGCCTGTATTTAAATGCTGATATCTGGTTTCTAGTCAACAACTGAAGAACTAAACCATTAACACCTTGACCAAGGTCATTATTCTGAGGCAAAAGTAAGCATTTTATGACATTTAGTCATTTTTTTTAAATTGTGATCATGTACTATTAAATTCATAAGCCTCTTGCCAGGATAATTCTCTTCCCTGTTCAGGCTAAAAGTTTAACTCAAAATGGCAGGGAGGTTCTTAGGAAGTCAAAAGGATGAATGAAGTTTATAGGACCAGAGGTTAAAAGTCACAACACGAATTATAGGATATCAAAAAACCAACCATGATTCAAAGAAAAAAAAGAGTACTCATGCCTCTTCTACTGCAAAACAACATGGAAAAGAAGTCCCCCCAAATACAATTATTCACTGTTATTTCCTCTGATGGCACGTTATTACAGAAACCAGTTCCCCAACCCCCAAGAACTATACAGGATGAAGTACAGTCCGTCCTATCTGTGTTTTACTCAAACAGTGCATGCGTTCATCAATGGAGGCTAGCTGAGCACCACGTGGGTCCTGAAAACATCTCCGCAGCGCGCAGGTAGCAAGATTACCTTTCTAACATATGATGCAGCATCCTCCTCCGTGTAGACTTCGGCACTGATAGCACCTCGTCGCCTCCGGCCCTTAACCACTGGGTTGGGTGGAGGAGGAGAGATTTCATCCTCCCTCGAATCTGCACGGGAGCTTGCTTTCTGCAGATTCTGAATCTGTTTTGCCTCCTCCTGAAAAAAATTACCAGTATATATAAAAATGAGATCCTTCAGAGGTAGATTTGGTATTCTCCTATCCCAGTGAGAACCAATCTCCACTTCAAATCTCTTCCTCTATTACCAATGTGAAGGGGGGAAAGGCCGATTCCAAATGCAAAAAAGTAGAGTTAAGTTTGAAAAGAAATACTCTGAAAGCACTCTACTGTTTCCTCAACTGATTATAGATACTATACTTAGTAATAAACAAAAGCCATTAATACAAAGAGACATTCGATGCAGATAAAAAATTACTCATTACCGTAATATATTGACAACAATGCTTTGTAATGCACACAACTAATAAAACTGCAAAACAAAATCCTGGAGAATTAGAGTTTTTGTATACTGCTACAGATAGCATGAAGCATGAAGACCCCCTCCAACACACACAGGTACACACATCAAAAGAATGTTACCTAGAAATAACCACTCAGGCACAGCAAAGTGATACAAGAATGGTATCTGGTCACTGATTTAATTAATTAAGTGTTCTCTCTAGATCTGCCATGTCAAGTTCATGCCAGGAAAACACAGTATCAAAACCAATAGGAGTGTCCTAAGCCTGTGGAATTCATATTCTAGAGCTGGAGACTCAGATAGAAACAAATAACAAAAAATGATGTGATGGTAACCAAGAATTTAAATAAAATCAGATCTAACAATACTTTTACCAACAGAGCTAGAAGCCTTCTTTATTATCAGGGTTTACACCAAGATTAAAACCAAGAACGTCTACCAGTTTTTAAAAACTCATTAAACCAATTCATATAAAAATGGAGACAAACTCTTTAACATTCTTATTTTTCAGATCCAGGGCTTAAGAAGAATTAGCTCTGCAGTAAAGAATGAGTTACTATGCCTGATATAAAATAAGAATGTGTTCTCTACTATGTTCTCATTCATCTGACTCATTTCCAGTATTTTTCTAAACCGTCTTTCAAATTCTAAATGAACTTATTAGCATTTACTGATAATTTCGGAAAAATTTTTGATAAACAAGAAATTTTTAGTTTCTTTTAAATTAAAAGAAAGGTGCCTGGGTGCTCAGTTAAGTGTCAGACTCCTGGTTTTGGCTCAGGTCATGATCTCAAGGTTGTGAGGTTGAGTCCCACATCTGAGCCCCCTGCTCAGCAAGGAGTTTGCTTCCCTCTCCCTCTCCCTCTCCCTCCCTCTCCCTCTCCCTCTGCCTCTGCCTCTGCCCCTCCCCAGGCTCTCTGGCACTGTCATGCGTGCATGCACACGTGCTCTCTCTTTCTCAAATAGATAATCTTAACAAAAAATTAAATACTAAAAGAAATTAAGGAGATACCTGCTTTTTCTACTGCCTCGTATTTAGCCCTGCTTTTGGCATCAAGACAAATAAAAGAAGTTATATATGCAGCAACGAAGTCTAGGATGATAACCATCAGCATTCATTTCTATTAGTAGAATCATGCCTGATAGCCTTTTCCGGAGGGAAAGTTTGGCTTTATTTTTCTCATTTCTCTGGACTGTCTAATTTTCAAGTAAGAAAAACATATAACAAAAACAATTTTAATATATTTGTCTACTGAATTACAAATGGATTTACTTCTTAACCAAATAATCCAATAATCCTACTTCAGGGAATCTATTCTAAGATACGCATATATGGGATAGAACATACAAAATTTTGTAATATATACAAAATTATTGTTTAGAACAGTAATCAAACCGTGGAAATAAAATGGCCCTTGACGGAATGATTAAACTATAGTCTAGCCATACAATAGAATATCATGCACCTGTTGGAAAATAAGAAGCTCTTTTATAAATGAATTTGTAGGTAAATACCTATATCTTATCTGTGGAAAAATCACTGCATTCAAGGAAGACAACAGAGTGGGAAGGAGATTTTTTAAAATATCTTTATATACTATTATCATACATTCTTACATATATAAAATATATTTTATATATTATATGCTATATTGCCCCCATGTTTGTATAAAATGTACCGTATTTCATTGTATTTTATTATGTCACACCCTTTTGTGCTTGTAAAATTTTGAAACATATGCAAATATGCAACCAATTTTTAAAAAATATATTTTCCAGAAAACTCACTTCATTTTCATTCTGGTAATTCCAATGACCAGTAAGCTTTTCCCATTTCATACTAATACAGAACTGTAAAACTCAAGTTTCCCCAAATTTAGTTTAAGACCATAAATAAAAACATTCTACCCCCAAAAATCTGTCATTGACCTTTCATAAAAATTTCATGAAAAATTACACAAATAACATCTCACTTGAAACTGTATCTAAATGAATTTTTAAGATAATTTTTAAGTACCGAAAGCATTTTGATTTTTAACTTCGTTTCATGGATTCTCTTTAAACAGCAATCACACATAACCTACTCTTGACAACTCAGAGCCACTGAGATCACATAGAGTACAGATTAGGATTCATTTTCATGTCCCTTTTCTTGCTGTTGTCATTCTGCCATCAGCCTCTTCCCTCAAGTTGTCCCACTTATTAAAAGCCAAAAAAACACACACAAAAAAAACCAAAAAACTCCTCCTGCCACTGGCTACTGGCACTCTTTACGTTCTGGAGTTCTAAGCTGCCCCAGCCACTGACTTAACCCGTTCTCAACAATTACTTTGTTCCCTTCCTGTCCTAGCCATTCATTCCACTCTTCCCTGGAGGTGAAATAAACTTCCAACCAAATGAACTTGGGAGTTTGGCCACAACTTGCCTTGGCCATGGAATATAAGTGGACCTGCCATCCTGTGTCCACTTTTATGGTCTGCCCCCCTTGAGCTGCTGGTTCTTCTCTGCCTCGAGAACAGCACATTCTATATAGTGGCGGCTCCTTCCACTCAGCCCCAGAACAAGACCTGTGGAGTCACGAAGGCAAGAAGGGCTGAGCCCAGAAGAGCTGTACATGATAAAGAAATAAGGCTTTTGTAGTAAGCCACTAAAATTGGGGGATTGTATATATAGAGTAAATCACTGAAATTGGGGGGGTTGTATGCTGCCACAACAAAATCTAGCTATGACACTGCATGACCACAGCCACGTAACTCCATTTCTTAGTTTTACCTGCTACCTCTTAAATCGGTGATAATCACCTACCTGACATATTTGAAATAATGAGAACGTATTTATGCAAAGTGCTTCATACAGTATCTGGCACACTGGAGACACCCAATGGACACAGCTATTAAAATTCCTCTGATCTATCAGACACACAAGGGTCTAATAAATATATGCATAAATGAGGACTTAAATTCCAGGAGACAGTCCTAAATAAAATGCAGAAGCTTTCAATGGACCAACTGTGAGTTTTTTGGTACATTTCTTACTGAGTAGCTGAGGGTACCAGAAACATGACCCCTGGTTAACATAGGAAAGGAGGTGACAAAAATGTGACTGTACATTTTCAGACACACAAACCTAACACCTCTAATGTACAGAACAGTGATCTGTTGAATATCTAGTTGCTTCAAAGCCCAGATGCCTACATTCAATGCTGGCTACAGGAAAGTGTCCAAGTGAATCAAGAACCTTGATATATAGTAAAGACTGGGTTAGGCTACAACTTCTTTTAAGAGGTAAAGAAGCCAAAAGAAACACATAAAATCTAAAAATCCCATCTGCAAAAAAAAAAAAAAAAAAAAAAAACACACGTTAATAACGATTTCTTGCTTTCCCTGTTGTTTAGTGCTTTAACAGTGCTACGGTAAGCCCAGGCTTTGAAACTAGCACCACACATTCAACACTCCCTATAAAAAGACACTCACTTAATGTCTCACCAACTTCATTCCCTCACTTGATGGGTTTCTATTGATGTCCGAAGTGACGAGGGATCAACTTACAGTGACCCATTTCAGAACCAGATCTCCAGGAACGCACTTTATTTCCAAAACAGGGAACGCCCATGGCAGCCTGGCTCTACAGTATTTCATAAACTTATTTGTAAATAGCTTAAAAAGGAGAAAACCAGACTTTCTAACACAATTCTAAGACAGCAAGGCTACATCCATGGGGACTGTTTTTTGTTGTTGCTAATTATTTTAATTGTGGCAGTAAACACCAATTGTAATAAACATCTTTTCAACAAAACAGTAGGAACTGTCTGATTACTGAGCTACCTAAGTATTTTTTAAATCCTAGTATAAACAAATTCTTGTACTGATAAAGTATGCTACCTAAAAGATTTTCCAAACAAATGAGATGTATCACAAATACTTCTATTACACAATTAGATAATTAATGATCATATCCCAAAGAAATGCCTCCCAATTGGTTCATAATCACTAAGAACATCAAAACTTCAATATGCATAAGAAAACCTGTAAACTCCTCACGCTGATTTACAGAAACAAATCAAACTACTCAAAACATTTAACCTTCCAGGTGTTCTCACTCATCATTTCTTGAGGGAAGTGAAATTAAAGCACTGCCCTTGATTACCATTTTGCTTAGAAGAGCATACACCATAGAGCATTCACTATGTGCTCAGGTCACAGTGACATACACACGAGGAAGACAAACAACAAAGAATAAAAACCTAATTTTTTTCAAGAGGAAACACGTCCTGAACAAAACCGTAAATAAAGTAAAATTCTGATAACCGCTGATCTTAATAGCTCTGCTTTATAGTCGAGTCATCTGAGCTATATTAGTATCTGCACTACTACAGACCTCTCTAATTCAGAACTTCTGGTATGTCAGTCAGAAGCTAAACTCAAATGCTTCATTACATTGGTTTTAAAAGGTGAGATAAGGTTTATTAAGTGCATTTGCTTGGTTGAAGACAAAAGCCATTAACTGCTTTCAAGTGCTGCAGAATTTCTCTTGTCATACAACTGCTACTTCTGATCTACTGGATCTAATTGTTTATTTTACCTGATCATTTTTACCGATTCAAACAGTTACAAAGAACTATGTGTAGAAGCCCTCTGTTACCCAACTAACCTTGGCATACAGGTTTGTTTTATGATCAATTCTACCAATCACAAAGTTAAAAATTACTACAAATGCCTTAACTGCATTTCTTTTTTGAAATTCTGTTTTAGATTTCTTATTCGGTCAGAAGTCCTTTTCTTCCAAATGGTACAAATTAGCGACATTCTACAGAGTTACATTTAACAACTGTCAGGGTCATCTTCTCCCCACACTTATTTTTACCTTCTCCAGCCTCTCAAAGTATTCCCTGAGGAATGCCATGGGTCTCTCAGGTCGAGCAGTGCACAACTGCACAATAGAATCCTTCAGCAGTGCCTGAATGTTGTGCTTCTGGACATAGAGCTCACATTCCCGGAGGCTGCGCTCCTCCTCACTGGTGGCAGTGCTGCCAGACGCCATGGTTCTCTACGAGGAAAAAAAAAACACACATATGCTTGTATAAACTATTTCTAAAGAGCAAATGCCAATTTGGCCTTTGGCTTCATAAATTCATCAGGCGACTGCTTCACAAGAACTTTTTTTTTTCCCCTAAGTAATTTTTTTTTTTTTTAATGGGGAGGTGGGAGCTCAGGAATAAAATATGTAGGAAAACAACATTCTCCCAAAGAAGTGTTTCATTTCGTTCCTGCTGCAGGATGTCATTCTGCAGGCAACAAAGGTAAAAGGCAAGAACCTGAGCTCCTGGGAGGAAGTATGAGCCACTATCCCCTGCAGAGGCGGGCTGCTGAGGAGTCAGGCCCCTCAGGGAATTTCATTCAGTTCTCCCCCCTGCAAAAGAACTCATGATGACGTGGGGAGTGTGTAAATGGTAAACAGGACAGAGAATTACGAGGGCACACAAGTCGGCTCTAAGTGAAAGCAAGTAAACGCAATGAAGAACATCTGACATTCCCCGTGCATAGAACTCCTACCCTAGGGGAGTGTCCTAATGTCACTAGCAAACCACCAGAGCAAAGTGTCTCATTAGCCAACTACCAGCATAATCCAAAATTCTAAAAACACAAAAGGAACCCCAGATGAGTTTTATAAGAAGCCTTTTATTCCAGACTCTTCTATAAAATTTCAGCCCTGAATAACAGCACACACTAACATAACACGCCAGTATGAGAAAAAAATTCTGCAGGGAAAAAAAACAAAAACAAAAAACAAAATCACCTTACCAAAAAAAATCAAAAAAGATTTGGACAAGTAAATGTCAAACATTCTCTTTGGCTGGACAGGAAAAAATGCTAGAACAGTTTAAATTTTAAACTTACATGAAGATTCAAGAGATAAACTGCATTAAATGAACTTGAGAGGATTCCAACTACCTTGATGTAAAGTAAAATAAGTAGAAATATTAGAGTGAGCAGCTGACTTTACCTAGGAATTAAAAGCTTAATAATTTAACAACACAGTCATAAATTATTTTCCTCCTGACTTCTAATTATTAAGCAATTAAGATAAGAAAATAAAAGTGAGGCCCTCTCTCTCCACCAACTGGATTCAATACAAATCAGTTTTTTTTTTTCCCCAAATAAAATGCACACAAAATCAGAGATGAAACTGTAAGTTTGGAAGAAAAAAGAAATACCAAAATCAAGAGCCAAATGCTACACTGTTAGTCATTTTGTTTTGACAACTTTCATGACAAAGGTCAACATCAAGCAGACTAACAGACCTTGAGAAAGTTTGTAGCTCCCTGACAAGCACATAAATTAAAAGCCACAGGAAAAAAAAAAAAAAAAAGAATCTTGCTACTGCTACTTCAGAAATATGCATTCAAAAAAATGGGGGGGAGGGGTAGTTTGCTTTGGATTTATACCAGGCACTCTGGCAGGTCAGACAATCCCATGAACTGATAATCCACTTCGGCAGAATTTTCTGCATGTAAAATAATACGAAAGGCCACCAAGAACAATGATAAAATCAGATCCTTTATGCTTCAAAATACTCGGTGATATTTCACGAATACCATCAATACATGTACTCCACTGGTCAAAGAAATCAAAGATCAGGTCTTTGGCTGGTAGAAATGAAAGAACCGGGTCTAAGGAGTGAAACGGGCTTTTCTGTCTCAAACACTGTATCAGAAAGCACACACCAGTGCTGTTAGAGCAGCACCCTAACAAGGACCCTCCAAGACTAACGTCACCACTGAACCCCCTCAGAGCCAAACCTAAGTCTTCATACCTTTAATGGGGTAGACCGAGGTTAACTCCCTACCTGTCCTTAAAACTAGAGAGCCCGACAGCTTGGCTTCTCCCTCCCCGTCCCCCCGCCCGCCCCCGCCCCCCAGCCCAAAAATGATTCACCTACTTTGAAACTTTTCACTGCACTCCTATCGACCCATCAGAAAACACTCAAGATTCTTTCTTTTTTGGAAACTCAACTGCGATAACGAAATTCCGTTTCGCGAGGCTTGCGCGCGGGGAGGTAACAGAACGCGCTGCTGCCGGGAAACGTGCTGATTCAGACCGCAGCCCCCGAGACCCGCGGGGGACACCCCCTCTGGGTCCTCTCCGCCGCGGAGTCGCCGGGCGTCACACCTGCGCTGCGCTGCGCTGCGCTGCGGGGGCTAATGGGGACCACGTACTCCCTTTTTGTCGAGAGGAAGGGCAGGAGCGTGCCCTTCACTTGGCTCGCGCCGCCGTGACGGCTACGAAATGAAGAAGGGAGGCCTGTCCTTCCTTCATCCTCCTCTGGTCGGGAGGCCACAAGGGTGGTGAATTGAATTGCAGGGGAACCCGGGAACCGGGGGGGGGGGGGGGGGGGAGGGGGGAGGGGGGAGGGGATCGGGAAAGGCTAGGTGAAAAGCGGGACAAAAAAGGAATTTAGAAGCCGGGCCAGAATCCCGCTGGGGGTGGGGGTGGGGGGGTGGGGGCGGGGGCGGGGTGGGCTCCCAGGGAGGAGAGGAAGGCCCCGCTGGAGATGACAAGGAGACACTAGAAAGGGGAAAACGCCGACTGCCGAGTCTCCAGATCAGCCCGAAACGCCGGGGCAAACGACTGGCGGATTCCAGTAAAATCGAGCCGCTGTCCTTCAGGAAACGGGGGAGGGCAAGCGAGGCGGCCGCGGCGCGCGGGTGCGGAGGCGGCGGCGGCGGAGGCGGCGGGGGCGCGACGGCCGCGGAGGGCGGGGGGCCGGGGGCCGCGGCGGCCGCTGAGCCCCGCGCCGGAGCAGCTCGGGGCCGGGGGCGCGGCTCGCGGCGCGAGGCCCGCGGGGAGGCGTCCGCCGAGGCCCGGGAGGGGCAGGGGGTGCGGCCGTCCCCCTGCAGGTCGCTCCCCGTGACGCCATCTTGGATCGGTCCAGCGCCCCCAAACGGGCGGCGGGGCGGCGAGGCGGGGCGCGCCGGGGCTCCCAGCCGACCCCACTCACCTGGGGACGGGCGGCGGCGGACGCGGGGCGGCGGGTGCGAGGCTGCGGCTAGCTGAGCTCTCCCGGCGCTCCCCTCCCGGCCCGGCTCTACTCCGCGATAGCGGCTCCGTGGCGGCTCCACCGGAAACGACCCGGCCGCGGCCAATCAGCGCGCGGCTGCTGACGTCAATGCGCCTCGCTCTGGCCAGAGCCGTCGCCTTGGCAACCTTAAAGGCGCTTCGGCCCGGCTTCCCCTCCCGCCTCTCCTAGAAGGACCCTCGCCCCTCCGCGCCCTAGAACCGTTCCCCTGCTCTCCTTTCCGCCTCACCTGGTCCCTCACCGGCAGCCCTGCCGTCTCGCCCGCCTCTCATCCTTTCCGCAGCTCTCCAGCCCGGCGCTCCCCTCCTTCCGTCCACCTGCACCCCCCGCCCGCCCCTTACCTGTCTGCTCTACCTGGAGGCCGCAGGTCCCCCTGCCTCCTCCTCCTGCTCTTTCCCCGGCTCTCGGCGCGGCTCTCGGGAGCTCCCCTCTCTCCTCGGCCCCTCGCCTCCTCTCCTCCCTCGCCGCCTCGGCCTTTTCTCCCTCCCTTTTCTACCCCACCCCCCCCCCCAGCCGGGCCGACCCACGTGGGGCGTCTCGGATGACAGGTGGGCGACTCCGCCCCGTGGCCCCCGCCGGGGGAGGCCGCGGGCCCGGGGCGGGGAGACTCCTGCGGCTTCCAGGCCCCGGAGGAGGCGGCGGCCGCGGCGGATCTGCGGCAGCTGTGCGGCGGCCGAGCGCGGGCGGGTGCCCAGGATGCGCACGCCCGACCGCGCATCCTGTGCCCCGCCGTCTCCGCGCGGGCCTCCGGGCTGGGCCCGCCATCCGGCGCAGGAAATCCGAGCCCTGCCAAGTGTCCCCCCCTCCGGGGGACCAGCCCCGCCGTCTCCCCGCGGGCCCGAGCCTCTGGGAGGGACTGGCCGGGGTGCTTCCAGAGCCTGCAGTGCCTGACAGGCACGGAACCCGCCCGCGCGGCAAATCTCAGCTGCCTGCAAAAAGCACTCGTCAAGGATGATTCGGATTCCAGGCGGGGAGAAAAGGAGGCTCCTTTACTGCTCCGGCCTTTTTTTTTTTTTTTTTTCCCGATCTGGGTATTTGTCCCTAGAGGAAGAAAGGGGGAGCAGGTGACCGGTTTAGCCTAGCCTATAAGGTCGCGAAATCAATGAAGTAGGCCCTCGGAGGACACGTATAGTCACGCGGTAGATGGCTCTAGGGCTGTATGTGCAAAATACAGTGGATTTAAATGATGATCTTTCGGTAATAGTAGGTTAAATATTATTAAAATTAATGTCATCTTTGCCTTTTTCTTTTTACTTAATTCTCCGTGCGTGTTTTTTTTTTTTGTTTGTTGGTTTGTTTGTTTTTGTTTTGTTTTACCTTTTAAATACAGGTATTAGAAAAATGTTCGTTTGGTATACAGCCTATGTTACATTTCTGTGGGACAGCACTGCCCTAAGCAGCCATCTGCTCCCCTAAATCCACCAGGCTGATAAGGGCCCTGCTCATCAGAATATTTCTTTTATTCAGTTATGGTTACTCCCGCTTTCAGAAAGTCAGAGGCAGCATAGGCACCATCAGGACAGGCGGATTAGGCCTACAGGAGGGAAATGTAGAAGGGAGTCTCCTCCTACCCCCTGCCCCCACTTGCTGACCACTGGCCTTTGGCCAGGATGGGTGGAATGGGGGATTAAACACAGAGCTTCAGTCATATAGGATTTCACCCCCGTGGGCACAAAGAAGGCCTAATAAACTGGACCCGAAGCTGGCAGACAGGAGAGGGAATTCGATAGCATTGAACAGGCCCAGTCATGTTACGAGAAGAAAACACTGCAGGCAGATAAATCTGAGTTTGGTTGCAGCCTCTCCCATCTCCAGCAATTGAATTAATCTCCATGAGCCTCGGTTTCCCCAATCATAAAAGGATATGAGCAGGGTTGTGTTAAAATTAACCAAGAAAGCTAATAATGGCACACATGTTCCTGGTACTTTCTAAGCACTTCACACATAATAATTAACTTACTCCTCCTAATAACCCTGTGGTATAGGTATTGCTGCTAGTGCTACAGAAGGAAAATGAGGCAGAAAGAAGTGCAGTGACATGACCAAGACCACGCGGCTAGTGCTCACACCCAGGCAGGGATCTTAACCACTCTCTCTCCTTTGCAGAACATATACAAAAAAAGCGCCCAGCACAGTGCGGGATATAATGAATAAGTGCAAGTGAACCTCCCACTTCCTTCTCTTCCTAAAGAAGCACCTAAACTACAAGGTTAAGACTGAGCTATCCTGGGGTGCCTGGGTGGCTCAGTTAGTTGAGCGCCTGCCTTCAGCTCTGGTCATGATCTCAGGGTCCTGGGATCGAGCGAGCCACCCGAGTTGGGCTCCCTGCTCAGCGGAGAGTCTGCTTCTCCCTTGACCCCTGCCCCCCCTGTTCATGTTCTCACTCTCCCTCTCTCTCAAAAAAATAAATAAAATCTTTAATAAAAAAAAGACTGAGCTATCCCGTCTCCCACCATTAGTGTTACCTTCCCAAGATAATCAAAACACTTCGAACAGGGAAACAAGCAAGCTGGTGACATTGAGCCGAGTGCTTTGAGTGACAGCTGCTTCCTTGCTAAGGCCTGGGTGTGTGTCCCCATTCAGCTGCATTCAGGCACCAGTCCAGCCATGGACCATTTCCTGTGTCAGTGGTGCTCAACCCTATGCTAGCTGCCAAATCCTCATATGCTGGGGCTTTAAAAGACAAAAAGGGAAACTGGGCAGTAGATAGCTGAGCCCGGGGAGAGGTCACGGAGACAGCTGTTCTCAAAAACCAAACAGCATCCGTGGTTTCCAAATGGTGCAAATGCTCTTTCAGTGCCGCCCTGCTGCTGGGAGACAAACTTGTAAATTACATTTCGGAAGTGACACTTGCTCCGCTGTAGTTTCCGTGTGGCTTTCCCTCCTCCAGAGGCCTTCTGCCCTTGATTCCAAGGTCTGGCAGCCTTTCCTTTAGCCTGTGACCCTGAAAAACTCAACAAAATCAGTTTCTAGGGCAGTTATATGTAAATTTTTCTCTTAAGAAAAGAATCCCTGGGGATCCCTGGGTGGCGCAGCGGTTTGGCGCCTGCCTTTGGCCCAGGGCGCGATCCTGGAGACCCGGGATCGAGTCCCACGTCGGGCTCCCGGTGCATGGAGCCTGCTTCTCCCTCTGCCTGTGTCTCTGCCTCTCTCTCTCTCTCTCTCTGTGACTATCATAAATAAATAAAAATTAAAAAAAAAGAAAAGAATCCCTTAATTGCCATTACAATGTTTGTGAAAAGACAGCAAACAATTTTAAAAGCAAAATAAATATCAGTGGTGCATTTAGTAAGCAGAAGTGGGACTAAGAAAGCCCATACGTAAAAGGAAGGAATATGTTGCTGACCCATTTCTTCCTGTTTCTTATGCTTACGGTTTCCATTGGCTAAGGACAGATCCATATAGTTCAGATTTCCAAGGAGGGGGATACCTGGGTGGCTCAGCGGTTGAGCATCTGCCTTTGGCTCAGGTTGTGATCCTGGGGTCCTGGGATCGAGTCCCACATCAGGCTCCTTGCAGAGAGCCTGCTTCTCCTCTGCCTATGTCTCTGCCTTCTCTGTGTGTGTCTCTAATAAATAAATAAACTCTTTAAAAAATATATTTCCAAGGAGAATTTTTCAGACTATGACCACCTATTTGTAGTACACAGGAGTGCTGAGCTTTGTGCTTCTGACAGAACCCAAGGTTGTGATTTCAAACGTAACTCAAATCCAGCAAGCATTCAGATGCCAAAGCTTTTCTCACTGGCAAATGGTTATTTAAACTGAGAAGGGGTGTTTATGTTGAGCATTAACTGAAAATATGAAACCACAAAACCAAAAGAGTGGCAATTCTGAGTCTAATTCAAGAGTTTTCCAAGTGAAAACATCTTCATCCAAAACACATCTTCCTCCAAAATAATGTATTTAAATCCATGATGTTCAATGAGAGAGACAGAGAGAGAGAGAGAGAGACAGAGAGCTGTATAAAGTGAGGTAGATAGATTTAAAGGAACTGTTTTGGGTGATTGTGGGGGGCTGGCAATTCCAATGTCCGCGGGGTATGCCAGCGGGAAACAAACCAAAGGAAAAGTTCGCCTTTCAGCCTTGAGTGTGAAGGCAGCCTGGAGACTGAACTCCCTCCTAAGCGAACCTCAATCTTTTCATTTAAGGCCTTCAACTGATTGGGTGAGGCCCACCCTTCCATTAAGGAACATAATCTGGTCTCCTCAAAGTCTGCTAATTTAAAGGTTAATCACATCTAAAAGACACCTTCCCAACAACATCCAAACTCATGTTCGACCAAAAACTAGGCACCACGGACTAGCCAAGTTGACATATAAAATTAATCATCTTAAGCATGAATCAAGTCAAGCTCAGATATCTGTATGAATCTCTTCTAAATATTCTTTCTCTGGACACCCATCTCCTATGCCTATGCTATTTTTAACTAATGCTAACTTTATATCAATTGGTCATGGATATGAGGCTTTAAAAAAATAATAGCAGTGGGGCTGCCACCCACAAAGACCTTTTGATTGTGTTGAGTAGGATCAGGAACTTTGATTCTGTCCAACTGACAAAGTCAACAAATCTTGTTAATGTATCCCTACTAGCATTTTACTGACCATGTATCTATACGTCTTCCAGGAAATCTTAATTTTTTTAATTAAAAAAAACTGTTTTGGGGTCATGGCCTCTTTTGAGAAACTCATAAAAACAATAGGCTTTCTGCCCAGAAAATATGCCTAAACAGACATGCATATGACATTTGCCATCTGATTTCACAGATTCTGAAGCCCATCCATGCATGGATGCCAGGTTCAGAGGCCTTTAAAAATGTCCCCCCAAAATCCTAGCAAGCAGGCACTAAGGCGTCAGGGATGCAGAGAACAATGAGCCATGGCCCCACCCTCAAAAGCTCACATCTCACAGAATCAGCGAGAACATAGTGTTTTCCAAAGGAATGGTGAATTGTGAGAAATAGAGTGTGAGGAGGACCAAAGGGGCACCTAACTCAGGCTCGGGAGGTCAAAGAAGGCTACCCCAAAGAGGTCCTGGGACACGTGGAATAGGGCCTGAATCCTGCCTCTTCTTTCCGGCAGAGGAAACCGATGGGCAAGAGAAAATGGGGGTTTTTAGAGAAAATGTTTTCCCAGG